AGAAATAGCTTGGCATTTTCTAATAACATAAAAATATGCAGCCTTATTGTCAACACATCAATTCTACTTCTATTTGTATGGTCTAGAGAAACTTGTATACTTGTGAATCAGTGCATGTATTGTATATGTTTACAGAAGCAATATTTTGAAATGGCATTGAATTAGAAACAACCCAAATGTTCATTGATGGGAGAATACACCAAGCTATGTGGCAAAGCCATTCAATGGAATACTCTATAGCAAATAAAAAGGAATGAGCTATAGACCAAAGAGTAAATATTATAAGCAAACATAAAAGAATACATACTGTATGATACCATATATGTGAAGTTCAAAAAGGAGCCAAACATAAAAGAATACGTACTACATAATGCCATATATATAAAGTTTGAAAGTAAAAACTAAACTACATTTATTTGAGCATACATGCATAAGTGTAAGACCTTTTCAGAGAAGCAAGAAAACTAATTACTATAAAAGACAGAATAGTGATTTACCTTTAGAAGGGCAAAGAAGGTATTGTGTTAAATGAGGAAGACACAGGTGTTTTCTGGCTAGCTGCCAATATTCTATGTCTTGGCTTTGGTAGTAGTTACACAAGATTCATTTTATAATCATTTATTATACCGATATTTATGATTTATGCACATTTCTGTACGAGTGTTATATTTCACATTTTAAAACATTTAAAAAGTATTCAGGGAAATGCTGGGAATATGGCACCCTGAATGTGTCTCTGCTGTTCTCTAATCTCAGTTCCTAACAGCAATCTTCCTCTCCTGAGTCTGTCTGGTAGGCAGACAGGGCCTTGTACGGTACAAATATAACTCTGGGCTCTGTAGATCCAGACATAGAAAGTTGAGGTCAGACTTACTCTTCTGGCTTTGGACACAGCCTGGAGTTGTGGAGAATTTTGGAGCAAAAATCAGTTTACCATGATCTTTGAGAGAATATAGGTTTGGAAATCTGTGGCATTCTAGGAAGAAGAGTGGTTCCAAGAAAACTATTTCAAGGGGATTTCCTTTTCTCCCTTTCTTGAGAGCCTCAATCAGGTACTTTCTACTACCTGTCAGCTGGTACTGAACTCACCACACAGACAGAGATAAATCTGGGATACACCACTCTTGAGTGAGTATCCCAAGAACTCAGCCAGACCCTGTAGAGTAGGCAATGGGAAACTATAATACGTGTAAGGGATCCTAGCAGCTAGAGAAAGAACACTCAGAACATCTGCAAAAGGTGGTTCTTAATTAAATATAGCTGTTAAAAGAGACAGGTAACTACTAAAACAATACAACAAAAGTAATGCAAATGCCTAGGAGATTCTATTTTTGAAACAAAAGTTTAGTTTGTAAATTGAATGAGAGAATTAATTAGTATCCAAGAATATCAAATGGAATATGTATTTCAAAACATTGCAAAAAATACAAAAAGACGGGAATAATGAAGGACAAGGTAGAAGACTTGGAAGATAATTAAACGTGAGTAGTATAAGATCTAGAAGGAGAAAATATTGGTGGCAACATTTAAATTCTCTATGCTAAAAAATACTCTTGAGTCTGGAGAGTAAAAGGCCTTATTTAATTTTAAGTATTATTCGAAAGGAAATGACAATGGTTTACAAAAGAAAACAACTATTCTGGCTATAGAATAACATCTACAGATGATTGATAGGGAAGGACTGAAAATAACTCAACCACCAGGAGGTTGGAAATATGTTTGTATATAAGAAAGAGTTCAAAGATTTAAGTTCCCATATCCCTTTTTGAGGAAAGAGCTTTTATATATATAAAAAAAATAAATGAGTCAGAACAGAGATCTTAAGATAGGAGAAGTAGAAGAGGAGAAGAAACAATAAAACATGAAAAATATGTAGCTAGAAAAATTGCCTGAGAGCACGTAATATGTGAACTATATACATATTCTTAAAACAAAGATCCATATTTCAAACGAAGATCTAATGATGTATTGAAACCAAAAGTTTTAAACCATCTCAGCTAAACCTGAGTTGCCAAAGTGGTAGAGATGGGGGGAAGAATAAGTAATAACAGACAAACCAGTGAGACAATAAATCTTGAGGGAGATTGGGAAGAGAAGAGTTGTATTTTGTTTTTATATAATATAAAAATATGAGTTTGATCAGGAATTTTAGGAAAGGGAAATTAACCACTAATGAAATGGTAAATACAGTTAATTGTCCTTCTAAATTAATTGATGTGGTGAGAATACAGGGATTGGAATAGTTTGTTTGATAAATCAGCAGCAATAAAGAACAAAAGAGAGACATATGGATATAGCCAGTCATTAATTAATCAATCTTGTTTTTAGTTTTGCAACGACTTTTGAAATACAAAGGACAATAAAATTCAAAAAAAGACAATATTAATTAATAAAAAATTAATACAAAATGTGTGCCATAAAATTTAGATTTTAGAGTTGAGCAAATATTTTGGCTTGGAACTTTCTTTTTTCTTTTTTTTTTTAAGGAGGATTCTTGCTCTGCCACCCAGGTTGGAGTGCAGTGGCACAATCTTGGCTCAATGCAACGTCTACCTCCTGACTTCAAGCGGCTCTCCTGCCTAAGCCTCCTGAGTAGCTGGGACTAAAGGTGTCGCCCACCACACCCAGCTACTTTTTCTATTTTTGGTAAAGACAAGGTTTCCCTATGTTGGTCAGGCTAGTCTTCAACTCCTGATCTCAGGCGATCTGCTCATCTTGGCCTCCCAAAGTGCTGGGATTACAGCTGTGAGCCACTGTGCCTGGCTGAATTTTTTTTTATATTTCCACTAACACTAATTTTCAGCTAGTGCTAAAATTATCTTTTTTTATTTTTTGAGAGTTTATAGAGTTTGTAAATTGTCTCAAATATGTTTTATAACAAGGTAGAGCATATATTTTCAAAAAAATCTTTCATAACAAGAAGTAGCATACATTTTCTTTAAAAGAGCCTACATACAAATATATTTTGAAGAAAAATTTCCCAAAAAATGAAATGAAATTTATGAGTGAATGAATGAGCAAAGAGATAACAGACAGTCAAACAATAAGAAAAAAAGAGTGATAATATGAAAATCAGATAATGAATTTGGGTTTAAAAATTTTAACAAGAATAAGATATAATTGTTTTATACCTTTGTGTATCAAAATACATAGCAGCTGAACAGAAAGCAAAAATACATAGAAATATAAGTAGAGTTTAATTAAAATACAATATAGTGGTACCCTTTAATATGACTATTTCAGAATTGGACAGTTGAATTAGACCAAAAAGTAAGAATATACATAAAATAATTGAAAAATGTAATTCTATAAATTTCAAATAGAAAAAAATACATTGTATACATGTCTGTGGAATATTTATAAGAATTAATTACATACTTGACCAAAGAAAACATGTAAGATATACTCTCTAATCAAAACATAATGAAATTAGAAACAAGTCATTTTAAAAATAGTCCCTAATAATAATTTATAAAAGACCTTAGATCAAAAAAGAAATCAAATCTGAAATTATAAATGATTCATAGAAAGAAGGGAAAATAAAAATAATCAAAAATCTAAACATCACAATAAAAGCCTCATTCATATGTTCTTAATGCCTTTATCATTAAAGAAGAAAGACCAAAACAGGGAAAATGGAATTAAGTACTTATTAAGAAGGTTTTAACCTATTAAGGCATTAGAAAAAAACAAACAATGAAATCTGCCAAGAAATAGCAAATGAGAATTTTAAAATAAAAGCTAAATTTGAGTCATAGAAGATGAAAACAAAGAATGTGTATATTCAAAACTTGTTCTTTGAAAATACCTGAAAAACAACAGAAACAACAACAACCATAAAAATCAGAAAGTCAAATTATGTTAGAAAAAAAGCAACAAAAATATACAAGAATTAGAAACGAAATGGAAGACACAATCCTAGATTCAAAAGATGAAGAAAACGCTGAGAGAGGCACTTGCAACTCTGGCAACAAAGAGAGGGAAAAGGTGATTTCCTTGTAAAACATAGATCTTATGCACAGTGTTTGACACATGAGTTTAATAAATATCATCTATCATTATTATTGCTATTAGCATATCGCATTCAAATTCCTTTGCCAGTTCATCCTAAGACAAAGCTCAAACTTTGTCTTAGAAACAAATAAACTTTCTTGCTGAGGAAAATTGCCAGAAACTATCAAAGGATAAGTTATTATCCTCATTGTAAACAACATTTATGAAGCACACATTGTGTCAGAGACATGTTCAGATTCGGTGAAATATAAGATATGGCCTCTGCTTGACAAGAACTTAAAATCTTTAGGGGCTGATATGTACATGTGAGTAATTATTTCGGACTCTGGGGAACAAGAGCCAATTGACAGTTGAGATCATACCAACTACCAGAAGGCAGGGGAAGGAAAGATCTTTCGTGGTCAGTTGATGACAGAAGAACTTTATGGCAATCGGATTCTAGTGGAATTCTTAAGGATGGGCTGGGTTGAAATAAGTTTCTAAGAGGAAAAAGGAGTGCAAGCTGGAAAGCAAATAAGAAACTCAAAGTTTGTAAACTGGCCAATGTGGCTGAAACAAAGAAGTACATGCCATAGGGAGCTAAAAGGCAAAGGAAGGTAAGAGTATGTTGGGTCAGATAATGAAGGGCTCTGGAGTTAAATCTGTGGAGTTTAGAATTTGTGCTGTACGCAGTGCACAATCATTACAGAGTTCCGAGCAGGTCGGTGACACCATAAGCTGCAGTCTTGGGCAGGCTGCATTAGCGGCAATGTGCTTGGTGGACTTAAGAAGGGGAGTAGACTTGGCTGGGAGCAGCAGAGCAGCCGCAAGGCAGAGGGGCTATTGCTGTCATTTTAGGCCTTGGTGAAATCTAGAAATGTAATTATCCCTTTCTGCAGACGGAAAAAAACACAAAATGACTTCTGAGCCACACAGAACAAGGAGATGTGTAGGCAGTAAAACTAAGATGCCTTCAGCAATCCTGGTACAGAATTAGCCACACTTACCCAACTCCCGACTGTCCTCCTTTTAATATTAGAGTAACTCTTATTTTTTGGCAATATTTCTCAGCTCCTCCAGAGGTGGCAGCCTGGGAGAGAAAACCTCTTTGTCACTGATACACATTCATTTATCCACCATGAATGGGACAAATTTTATAAAGGAGTTTCCTTGAATTTAGCCTGGGGTTTGACTCTCCATAAAGCCGGGTTTCCTCTGACTCTCCCCCACACACCCCTCCTCCGTGGTCTGTATCCTCTCCAGGAACACAGAGAGTTAACCTTTGCAATCAGATTTGCTCTGTGCAACATGAAGTGTCACCCACAAACGCAGTGTACAAGGCGTCTGTGAAACGTATGAAAAGAAGTCCAGGAATTCAGTTAATTAACCACATCAGCTTCTTAACGTGATCAATTTTAATTAAACTGAATTTTAATAGAGATCGGTGTAGTCTGTAGAGACCAATTGCTAATTCTACAAAGCATGTGCTGCTTTTCAGTTCAGATTTGCTCCCATCTAATTAATATGGATAGAGCATTAAGCCTTTTTGGACTCTGGTGGTTTTCATTTCATGACTATTAATGATTTTAATGAACTGGACTAATTCAGTAGTTTTCATCCCAGTGTTTCAGGGCTTTGTTCATCACAAATTTCAGGTTTATAATTGGTTTCCAGGTCTTAACAGTGGTCATTGATCAGCTTCAGCAGTTCCTTTTACAACTCGGTAGGCGCTGGAGACTGTGTTAACCCTTTGCTGCCTGGAGCTGAGAACAGTGCAGTGCTTCAGGGCAGAGTCCCGGCTTAACTGTCAACCTAACATAGCCACAGGGGTAGGGGAGAACTTAAAATTCATATGGTGAGGTTAGCACAGGACAGAACAGAAAAGGTCCCCCCAGCAATATGGAAGCTTTAAATTAAAAAAAAAAAAAAAAGACTGGGGATTAGCTTTATTTTTCAGTTTTAATTTTCAGTACTCCAAGTGAGATATGCATAATGAAATTATCATTTTTATTTTGGCAAACAGCGTTTTCTAACCACTCATTGGCCCCTGACAATCCCTACCAGGCATCTTTATCGACAAGCAAGGAGTTAAGACTAAGGCGTAAGAAAAAAGAATTATAAAGAGCTAATAAAAAACAGAAGCAGTGAGACTGGGCTGAGGAGGGACATAGCTCGAGAAAACTAACACAGATAAAGAAATGTACACATTGATGAATACTTACTTATTTTTACATGACTGGGATCAATCTTCACCATTGGAGAATTGCTCATGGTCCTTCACTGCCCTGAAAATAAACAATGACATTTGAGCCTCCCATTTAAAATAAAAGACAAAACTTTTAAATACTCTGTATCCAAAGTGACTATTACATCTTTATGTTGCTGCTGCTGCCTTACTCAATTCCAAAAAGTGACAGGCAGGATGAATATACAGAAGAATCTAGGTCACACCACCCAAATAAAGCAAGGTAGAAGAGAGAAGATTCTCTGAAACAGGCACCTACCTTTTTAATTATCCAAGAAACAGCAGTGTAAACACTCAAATCCCAGTCTAGAAACGTAGCTCAGAATCATCAGAAGCTCTCAAAAAGCTTGTTTTTGTAAGCCTACCCAGAAAATTTCCTCTTGCCCCCCTCACCCACCAATGGAAGAACATAAAAATCTTTGCAGAGGTACAGAACTGTAATTCTCAAATGTTCCAGGGTTTTTTTTTTTTTTTTCCTGAAAATATTCTGCCAGAGATTTAGTTGATTTGGATTCCAAACCCAGTTGAAATCTCTTCAACAGTTTAATTTGTAAAAAGATATTTCTTATTCAGTAAGATTCTTACGAAGATGGTGACTTTTTAAAAATGTATCATCTCTGTATTTTCATGCTGAGTATCTGAAGAATAAATTAAATGAAAATCATTATCAAGTTAGCATTTAAAATGATCCAGGAGAAAAAATATGTATAAAGTTGAGAAGGTGCATTTATTTTATATTTTTCTCACTCCACTCCCCTTGACTCAATCATACCTGGTTTCTTTGATAACATTGGTTGACAGATTATGTCTCTGACCAGTTGAATTTCTTTCTTCTCCTATAGGTTAATATGTTAAACAAGTTGCCTGTTATAATAGAGGTGACTGTACATCTTTAATTCCCATTCATCTCTCAATCCTTTTCAGTCTTACTTCTGTCCCATAGAGCTGCAGAAATACTCCCCACTTATAAAATGGTGATAATAATGGCTTCCTTGTAGGGCCATTGTGTAGATTAGCACACTTAGCAAGGTGGCTCAATAAATTATGGCTATTACTACTGCTCAAATCACCAACGACCTTTTGATTGACCAACAGCTTACATCCTTATCTGCCAAGCTGTCTGAAGCATTTGACACTGTAAACCACACTTTTTAAAACCCTCCAAGAAACCACTCATTTATACCTTTGTTCTTTCAACATACATATATGGAATATCAGGCAGTGGTCTAGGCACTGGGGATACCGTGTATTTCAGCAAGGCAGAAAGTTCTTATCTTCTTGGAGTTTTTATTTTTTTCTAATGAGGAAAATAGACAAATATGAGTCAAGAAGTAATAGCTAACACTTATTGATAACTTAAATTGTACAAGACAAAATTCTTAGCTTTTCACATATTTTAACTTCTTTAACAGATGAGTGTATTTTCATGATCCCCATTTTACAGATGAGGACACCAAGGCACTGGTAGCTAACTGTCTTGGTCAGGATCACAAAGTTTGTAAATGATGGAGTTTGGATTTAAACCAAAGCAGTCTGCTCCAAAAATCCAAGTGTTTAAACCCAATGCGCTACTAAAAATCAGAAAACAAGAGCGACATCACAGAAAGAAAGATACTGTAAATAGTGTGGTCAGGGAAACTCTCTTTGAGGAGGTGATATGTGAGCAGAAACCCCAGTACTGAGAAAGAATAAAGCAAGCATGGTGTCCTATGAACCGAGTTGAGTCTCCCACAACAAATTCATATGTTGAAGCCTTCATCCCCAATGTGACTGCATTTAGAGATAGCGCTTTTAGGAGGTAATTAGGGTTAAGTGAGATCACAATGGTGAGGGTCCTACTTCAATAGCACTTTAGAAGGTGGCTTTAGAAGAGAAGGAAAAGAGAGAGCTCTCTCGCTCCACATACATGCACTGAGGAAAGCCCAAGAGAGGACACAGTAAAAACGCAGTCATCTCTACACCAGGAAGAAAGTCCTTACCAGAAAAAGAACCGGCCAGCACTTTCATCTTGGCGTTCTCAGCCTTCACAACTGTGAGAAAATACATTTCTGCTGTGTAAGACATCCAGTTGTTGGTGTTTGTTTTGGCAGCCCAAGCTGACCAAGACACCAAATGGAGTCTAGAAGCCTAGAAGGATAATGCTTCTGAGATGTTTAGTGAAGAAAGCCAGAGTACTTGAAAGTTTGGAAAGATAAACTTTGACAGGTGGTATTGCAATAATGGGTTCAAAAGAGTGATCATGAGGCTAGGTGTGGTGGCTCACATCTATAATTCCATCAACTCAGGAGGCTGAGGTGGGAGTTTTGCTTGAGGCCAGCAGTTCAAGACCAGCCTGGGCAACATCATGAGACCACCTCCATCTCTAAACATAAAAATAAAAACTCTTAGCCAGGTGTGATGGTAAATGCCTGTAGTTCCAACTACTTCAGGGGCTGAGGTGTGAGGATTGCTTGGGAGTTCGAGGCTGCAGTGAGCTATGATTATGCCACTGCGCTCCAGCCTAGTTGACAGAGTGAGGCTCTGATTCAGACAGAAAAAGGGGACAGAGGTCAGAAAAAGAAAAACAAATGTAAACAGCTCTTTCAAGGAGTTTTCTTACAAAAGAAATCAAGAAACTAGCCATGACAGCACTGAAGGACCTTTACGATGGAAGATAATATGTAATGTTTATAGGCTGATGGCATAACTTAGTAGACAGAGGAAAAGTCATGGGAAATGATAGAAGAGGAACAATTGCAGGAACAAAGTCATTGAACAGAGGAGAGGGAAAGAGATCCAACACTCATGTAGGGGGGTTGAAATGAGGTTCAGAAACAGTTCATCCACTGTTCCAGAAGGGGAAGCAGGGGCTATGGACATCCAGTCAGCTCTCCCTGTCTATGGTTTCCACATCCATGGATTCAGCCAACCACAGATCAAAAATATCGGCGGGGAAGAGCAATAAAAAATAACAATGCAACAATAAAAATATAAATAATGCAAATTAAAAACAATATGGTACAATAATTGTTTACATAGCATTTACATTGTATTATATATTATAAATAATTAAGCAATGATTTAAAGTATATCAGGGAAAGTGCATAGGCTATATGCAAATACTATACCATTTTATGCCAGGAACTTGAGCATCCTCAGATTTTGGTATTCATGGGGGTCCTGAAACAACTGTATGCACTAGAAAGGAAGGCAGCGTTCACAGATACATGCAAATACCTGGGTAGGACAGGTGATTTGATAGTGTAAAGGAGAGAGTTTTTGGTTTCCCTCTTTAAGAGAATATTTCATTAACAGAAACTACATGTCATTCATTACTGGACACTACTGTTATTTTCTACCCCTTGTACAGATGAGTAAACTGAGTCCCAGAAAAAAATAAGTAACTGGCTCACAGAATTCACTCAGGTAGTGAGTAGCAAAACTGGAATTTGAACTAAACCTGCCTCTTTTGATTGTTTTTTGTTTTAGAGCCACCATTGGTTGAAAGTTAAAGGGAAGAAGATATTTTGGAGTTTGGAAAGTAGAGGACATGTTGAGATAATTATTTTAGATAACAGACAAGCAAGTTGAGTAATGAAATATAGCAGAATTTCCAGGCTGTGCTGAAGATTTTCTTGAGATTATGAACATAAATTTAAAATGAAACCAGTCTATATGGATTTGTGTTGTGTGGCTTTGTTTTGTTGATAGTTCTATTTAACTGATGAAATATAGCAATAAATTTTAAACAGGTTTTGGGGTATGCCAGTAGAACATGATGGAAGCAGAGACAGACAAGGCAATTGAGGATACTGTATATAACGTTTTATGGTCATCAACCCTGGATCTAAACTGGATGAGGAGGAACAAGAGACCAGAAGGGCTGATAGGTAGTAAAAGTGGAAAGACTGAAGTGGGTTTGGTACAGTAGGTAATTTGAAACATGAAAGAGAGTATTTATTCAGTAAGATTTTGATGTTTAGAGTGTGAGGTATTTGGCATTAAGATTTTTGGAAAGTTCTAGGGTCAGACCATGGAAGGTTGGGGAGGGAGGTGTAGATTAAAAGTGTGTAGAAAGCAATGAGGTCAGGATAGTGACAGGCAGGATGTGAACATTGAAATTCCCAGGAATAACCGCAGGATAACATGGAGGTAAGGACAGTGAGCCAGTGTTAAAACTTCAGGGGTTGAGAGAAGTGACCGGGGAACAGGCGATTGTAAAAGAGCAGAGAACAGATGGTCATTTAATGTTATCTCCTTCAAAGGGGACAGGGGCTTTGAGGGTGAAGGAAAGAACTAGGGTTACAAGAACATTAATCCCCAATTCCAGGCCCCAGTGCAATCCCTTTCCATACTTCCCGATGAGTATTTTACTCTACATTTATAAGTAATATGCTTATGTTGCCATTTCTTAATTTCAGATTTTTAGGCACTATTTATTGAGTTTGAACTTTGGAAAATGAGGACTCTCTTTGACATACGTGTGTGTGTATACACACATGAAAATGCACATTCTCTCTCTAAACCCACTCTGGTTATATTTATGGGTTCTGTTGTTTTCTTTCTGAACATTCGTAAAAAAATTATTTTGGTTTCTAGTGTTTGAAATTTATTATTCTGGGCACAGGGTGGACTCCTTCAATCTGGAAACTCATGCTGTTTGTATTGGGGGAAATTTCTTGATTTATTTTTTTGAGGCTAGATTTTCCTCCGTTCTCTCTCAGTTTGAGGTTTCCTTGACTCAAATTTAGATTTTAAAAAGTATTTTCAAGTAAAGATAGTGATTTCACTTCTTAAGATTACTGTGCTCCACCTCCATTCCCACCCCATCTACATTCTGGGACAGTCAGCAGGCTTCCTTGTGGCTTCCCAGAATAAGAGGTCAGAGTTTTTTAAGTCCCCTTTTTATAGGTTGGGCAGATCTTTGAGATCCATGGGCCCATAGGTGTGGTTCTGTCCCCTACATGGCTTTAAAATACCCACTTCCAGACCACAGGCCCAGTATCTGGTCTGATATACACAAGGTGCTAGCAGCGCTTCTCATCATTCTTGCTCTGATTT